TGTTCAAAACAAAGTCATTTACAGAGCACCCCGTAAGATGCCAGAGAGCCCCTGGACCACTTCCCAGGGAAATCTTAGGGGCAAAGGGCTCTTGCTTCCACCGGCGGGGCCAGGCATTGAGGTTAGAAAGATGGCGAAACAGCCAGGCTCCCAGCCCTCAGGACGCTCCCAGTCTAGGAGGGAAGCCCAACACTAACGCCGCAGCTGGACAGGGCAGGGGTCAGAGGAACAGGGGTCCAAGGCCTCCTAACCTAGAGCCTCTCACTTGGTGCGGGGCCAGGTGGGCGTGGAGTTGGGCACGTTTCAGCCCCCTTCAGTGATGCTGGTGCTGCAGTCTGGACCGCGCCGAGTGGCCGGCTGGCGACCTAAGACGGGCTAACCCCCACGACGGCATCGTGCAATTGGCAAGGGGGCAGCATCCACGCCCGACACTGGTGGTCTGGAGGACTCTGAGAGGACCCAGGTACGAAGGCTCAGGCATGGACCCTGTTGTTACTGGGAAGCATCTATTCTGTGCCGGCGGAGTAGAGAGACTTGGGCAAGTCCTGATGGCGTGAGCCGGGAAAGCAAGGATTTGCAACGTGCACCTGAGACCAGCTTTTGGAGCATCTGTGGAAGGCGCGAGAGCAGGGGGAGGTTGGAGGGGAGGGAAGAGCCATCCTGGGGAGGAGAACGACCTGGCTGACGCATGGGGTCAGCGTGGCTGGGCAAAGTAAGTGACGGCATGAGGTGGGGAGCCAGCCCACACAGCCTGTGCAGCTCTGTCTTCACCCTAAGAGCCCAAGGGGTCCCTGCAGGCACTTACAGGGGAGTACGACTGGGATCAGACTTGGTTTTTAAAATATTGCTCTGGTTGCAGGGAGGACAATAGACTGGAAGTGCCAGAGTGTCGTCCATTTCCTTGGGGTCGGGGGTTGGGGGAAGGGCTGGGATGGTGGGAACACAGGACGCAGGGACAGGGACATTCGTCTGCTAAGAGTGGGGAATGACTGGGACACATGGGAAGGGCTTTCTGGGAAGGGACCAAGGGTAAGCCTCCTGTGTTTCAGACCCTGGTTCTAGCCTCCCTGAAACTCCTCAGAAGTCCCACTTTGATTTCCTCATGCTGATTGTGTTCTTATGAGTGCCTTGGTTGAGATGGTTTCTGTTCCATGCAACCCTAACTTCCTAGAAAATTCTAGGACTGGCAGCATACCCAACCTGAGCCTTTCTGAAGTGTCAGGCAAGCAGCAAGCAGCAGGGGCAAGCAGTGAAACCAGGCTCTGTCCCCAGGCTGGTGCAATGCCACTATCAAGTCACTTGGTCCTGAGGACACATAGAGACTCAGAGCTGGAGAAGTCACACCAGGTCACACTCTTGGGCGGCGGGGACACATCTAGCCAAGGTGGCAGTCGGAACAGGGCAGCAGTGGGTACTCCAGGAACCCCAAGGCAGTGACGGCCCTGGCCCGCCGGCCCTGCTGGGAGGATCCCCTTCAGACCGGAGCCCTGGGCTTGATTTACAAGCTGACCGAGCTGAGTATGAATCTTTACAAGAAAACAGCGTCGCGGATTTCCAAGGAACTGTTTGGCTCTTTTTGGTTATGCAAAGATGATTCGGATTGAAAAGACTCCTCTTAAAAAGAAAATGTCAAGGAAGTTCACACGGACCTCGCAATTTCACTACTGACAACTGAGTGTTGACTGGGAAACCCACCGCTTTCTCTTGGAAAGGGGGTAACCCGTCTGACAGGGCGTCTGCAGGATTCAGCCTGAGTGTCTGAAGCGCCTCACAGCGTGGCGTGCTCGTGAACATCAGTGAGCCCGGGAGGCTTTTCTTTTGGTCTCACGCAAAACTGCTGCTTTAGTAATTATGCGTGCATTTGAAGATGTATTAAAAAAAATATCAAATTCAGAATTTCATGACTACCATTGCTCAGGAGGCGGCTCAAATGAAGAGAGCTGACTTCTAAGTTAGTGGGTGATAAGCAGTTGGGTGTGTGCGGGAAGCAAAGCCTGACCAACGTGAGCTGAGGGTGGGTGAGCACCCACAGGGCCCTGCTACTCCCTGCTTTGCAGTGCAGGTCTGGGTGCTCCTGGGTCCCAGCCCCATCAGGTACCATGACGACTCCTGCCTCCTGCCCCAGAGGTTGTGCCTCCGTCTCCCACAATTGCCTGGATCTTCATTGTCCTCAGAGGCCATTTTCCACATACAGGTATGTGTCCAAAGTAACTGTCATATTATTCTTCCAAGTGGTTCACCTCAGACTCAGCACCACCACAAACTGTCACATATCATGGTCCCATGGGCCAAACTACCGTCCCCTACTGCCAGGTGTTACGAGCACTGGCTGAGCCACGCCACAGGAGCGCTAGCCTTATTTCCTTTATTATTTTAATTTGGGTTACATTTTTCTTCCTCCCTATATTCTCCTCACCCTCCACCAGATCCACCTACTTCCCTCTCCCATACCCTTCTCCCTCCGCCCCCTGCCCCCAGTTCCCTCTGGTAACAAATGCATTTTTTCACTAAGTTCAAGACTTGCAGCTATTAACAATGATGAAGTAGTGCCTTTTGCGACAGAAGAGATGGGCCTCAAGGTGATGATGCTGTTGAAATAATTCAGAAAGCAAAGGACAGACATCAGCTAGCTTCCCTCACCTGTGCAACATCATAACCAAGAACACACCCCGGCAGAAGCACTACTCCAACAGCTTTATACGTATTCATTCACTGAGTTCTTGAGGCAGGTACTATCCTCCTCACAATTTTACAGAGTAAGAACCCAAGCCACAGAAGGAGCAAATAGCTGCAGGAAGGTGGGCGTGACAGAGCCTTGCCTGACAATGGCTGGGCTGTAGCGTGGGCTTGAGGGCATCTGCTAGCTCCTGGTCTGAGTGTAAAGAGCTTTGGGCCTGTGTGACCTTAGGCATAACTTTCTGTCTAGCTGAGACCCGCCTGCTTACCCAGAAGGTTCTGTGGAGGTCAGAAACGTTAACTGATGTGAAAATGCTTAGTTCTTGGCAAATGTATTTATAAAGGGACAAGATGGATGACTAAGTCTGATGCTAATCCTGCTTTCAGAAAACACTGAGGATATTGAAGAAGGGCAAGCCAGACGTGTGTTCTCTTCTGCAGACCTCTGCAAAAATTCTGCAAAGGGAGAAACAGCTGAGAAGGCTGCAGGAAAGGCCCCTTGTGAACTGGTAAATGAGGGGCCTCCTGTCTCTACTCTTCACCCTCAACCCTTAAACAAAGCATTTCAGAGGAGGTTCCCTCCTACTCCAGTGTTTTATGATTTTGGCCACTAAAGTCTGGGTTAAACTATTTGTCAAACAGCAAACAGTTTACATTAGGGATTCTTCTTGCTGAAGGGAATAAAGTAGCAATCCATCTAACAATTATTACAGACATGCAAAGTCAGGGGGTGGTAAGGACGTGAATGTGTCTGAAATGGTATTTTGGTCCCTCTGTAATGCTAGCTTTCTATTGGGGATCATGAGCCTGGACATTCCTTTTCACTGAGGCCTCCTAAGAGGAGGACTTAGGAGTCCTTCACTTCCCTCTCCAGCCTCCGACTTTTGCCTAGCAGAATACATTTTTACCTCTAAGCTCCCTGGCACTTGAAACTAGTTTAAAGGAAAACACCAGCCTTGAAGTACTAACTAGGCCAGACTCTGAATTTGTTTCCTTTCTTGGAATGGAGTTAATAATAGCATTCTCATAGGGCTGCTGTGAGGATTAAGTGGGATTAAGCAGGGGAAACATTTGGGCAAATAGTGGGCATTCAGTAAGTGGAAGCTGTTAATCTTGAAATTATGGACTATATATTAAAGATTTCTGCAGAAACAAATTAAGTCCGAAATCCCAAGAGGTATAACAATGTGGAGGTTAATTTCTCACTCTTGTTAGATGGTCAGACCAGGTCAGCAAGGGATTCGGCTCCCTGGAGTCACTCAGGGAACCATTACAAAGAGACTTCATCAACTGAAACACTGTTGACTAATAGGAGAAGACAGTGCCCAAGGTTCTCCAGCCAATTAAGTGCTGTGGACTTGATCAGTTTTAACCAGTCATTAGTGTAGCTACTGAGGCTGGGATATGTATGGATTTTTAGGTGAGCTTTACGCTCAAGCAACATGGAGCCAAATTTTGCCCACTCTTGATTTTCCCATAGTGCTTAGCACTGTGCCAGGTCTATTGGAAAAATTAAGATCTAACTTAAAAAGAAAGCTTCTCTGATGTATTAATTTTTTAGCCAAAAAGATTCTTTTTACCCTTTAATCAGATGTTTGTTATTCTCATCTGATAAGTTTGGCAATTTATCATCGAAACAAGCATTCTCCAGTTTTGCAGATAATGCTCATTTTGAGGACATCTGAATCAGTTTGACTCAAGGGAAAGCTCCAGGTCATGTCTAGGCCATGACTTTACACATGGAAGAGGAAGAAAGAGGACTGCCAAGGACAAGTTGACAAGATATATGTGTTTCTAGCAAGCCCCTCCCTGGACTCTGCAGTCCCCTGGCACTGGCGAGTGACATAGTCACAGCTAAGGCATTTGACACAGGGAGACAGTATGGTTTGTCCAAACAAGTCAAGGATAGACGGAAGTTCCTTCCATACTTTCCCTTCCTCCCAAAGCTCGGCACTCTGCAAAGTTCTTGCTCAATATGCATAGAAACAACTGTGGGTTGTGACATGTCAACACATCTATCCAAGAGAATTCCTGAGAGCAGCTGAGGGTTCTCCTTTACGCTCAGCGGAGAAAAGAAGACTCCAAAAAGACCCTTTCCTGTTGCTGTCATACGGTCCCTTTTAGACTCAAGATGCGCTCTGGTGCTGGCTTTGCCACCTTGTCACTGGGTGACTGTGGACAACACGTGGCTCTTCTCTGGGATCCCATGATTCAGCTGTGAGGTCACCCTGTAAGCACTGGGTGCAGCCCCAGGGAAGGGCTAGGTACGTGGGGATGACCGAGTGTGAGCAGAGGAACAGGCAGGGCAGAGCCCTGAGACCTACCTGTGCAGGCCAGTCATGGTGCAGGTGCAGGGATGGCGGAAAAATGGACTTGGGGGTTGTGATATGTGCCACGACCTACGGGCCAGCCAAGTCTGCCGAGGAGGATGTGAGCCCAGTGCTGGCAAATTCTTCAAGAGAAGCAAGAAACACAAAACTTGATGTGAAACTTGAGTGGGCCAGTCAGATCATCTCTGTCTGGCTTGAGCCCATGGCCCACCCACTTGCAGCTCCCAGCGGATGTTGCTAAGACTTGATGAGACTGTAAGACTGTATCTCCTATTTGATCTGATAACCTGATTACTTCTCATATAAGGCTTTTAAAGGACGTGCATTACTTACTCCAATAGAAAAGTCTCACTGTAGGAAATGGAAAAAAACAAGAAAATTAAAATATTCGTATTCTTAATTCCAATTCCCAAAGTTAGCAATTCACTACTGCTATATTCTGGCCTGTTTCCTTCTAGTCTTTATGTATAAGTTACACAGATAACATTATACATGCAAGTGTGTGTATGTTTATTCATATGTTATTTATGCAAGGTAATACAACATGCGTTAACACAATTTCCTCTCAAATTAGGAGCCCCTATTGACTGTGTTGCCTTTGACTCTACTTTTCATATAACCTGATGTCCTAAGTTTTTTTCCCTGTCTTCATATAATCTTCAAAAACATGATTTTTAATAGCTGCATAAAATGCCATGATATAGATTTATCAAAATTTATTTAACCTTTTACTCTTAGACATTTGAGAATGTTTCTAATTTATTTAAATCTATGAAAGATTGCAATGATCATCTTTATACAGAAATCTTTGCACACATCTGATTACTTCTTTAGCATAAATTCCACAATGAGAACCACAGGGCAAAGGCGTGAGTGTTTGAAGGCTGTAGGTCTCCACAAGTCACTGCTGTTTATAAAAGCCCACAACTTCATGTTCTACCACATCTATCAACAGTAGACACTGTCATTGAAAAACACCAAATATTAATTTGATAAGGTTCATTAAGTGTTATTTCAGTTATCCTAATTTTTGGTTACTAGCGAAGCTGGGTATTTTTTTCCCCAAAATGTTTTCTGGTCATTTGTATCATTTTTGTTCTTACATGACTTAAGTAACAACACCCCTTTACAACACAGGAAAGCTTTGCATCATGTATTTTTGTAGTGGGGAAAACTAAACGAGACCTTGTCCAGTAGCAGGGAAACACCCTGGCAACTGAGGCACACGTTGTGGCTGGGGTATTGCACCTCACTACCAGCTGGATGCGCAAAACACAGGCCAGCCAGCAGATACAGGGTGAGGTGTGCAGTGTGTTTATGAGTTTAGAGCCACGTGAAAACACCATTCCCAGAAGTTGAATGCTGGGAATTCTTAAGATATTTTTTCCCTTATGTTTTTCGAAATAGGCTGTAATTCTGTTACATAACCTTTGTCATTATAATAAGTACTTTAAAGACACATTTTCAGAACACTTTCCAAATGGACCATCTAAGTTTCTTAGGTACTATATATCCTTTTGAAAACATCTGTGTTTGTGTCACAGGACATTATACTTTTTGGATTAATTCTCTAATTCTTAATCAGTAGAGAAAAAGATAACTTTCTCATCAGTGGCCAGCACGAGTGACAGAAATGATTTTGTGGTCAGGTTATTTCAGGCTTTGAGGGGTCCCCCGAACCCCCACTCTACTTTGAAGTACTTTGAGAAGAGGAAAAGTCTGAAATTACAAAATCTGAGAGAGTGGAGGTAGGGGGAGGGAGAGAGGAAGCAGGTAGCTCTTGTTAGAACAAGCAGGAACCTTCCAGCTCCATGGGGTCACATTTGACCCAGATGGGCCCATGTTACAGACAAAGATGAGATCCACAGAGGGAGAATTTTGGGCACCAAGCCAAGCAGGCAGGGCCTCTCCATGCCTGCACAAACCTTAGATAATGGCCTTGTTATTACTACCGCTGCTCCCAGTAGCAGACCAGACACCTCTCAAAGTATGTTCTCTTCTGTCTATGGCACTTGAACTTACAAAGGCCCAGAGAGAGTGGCAGTGCTGGAAGTGAACTCCCAGTGCAGCAGAAGGGAAACTGAGGTTCAGTGAGGGGAAGGAAACTGATGTATGAAGCCTCTCTGTGTGCCAGATGTTTTGGGTTCTTTTTTCCTCTGATTTGTTTGGATATATGATATATAAGCTTCTGCACAGGATGACAACGAGGTAATAGTTAGGAGAGCAGACTGAAAAGCCACTCCCCAGGCCCAGTCCTTCAAGATCTTCTTCCCAGAATTTTCTCTTACCCATGTACCCCTCAGAGCCAGCCTCTGGCACAGGTGCATGTGTGTCCAGGTAAACTCTTCACTCCTTTTCCTTATCTTCCCTTTCTACTTCCTTTTCTCCCTCCCACCTTTTAAACAAATGGTACTTAAAAAGCATTCTTTATCAGGCCCCGTGGCTGGCTCATTCCTCTCCACAGCTGCATCATGCACCACATGTGGATGTAGGTCACTTACTTCAGCAGTGCCTGCAGGTGGATGTGACGGTGGTTTCCAGCTGTAGACCCTCCTCTGTCATCACTTCACATGCCTCAGAGTCTGAGAGGTGGACAGGCAGAAGTCAAACTGCTGGATCAAAAGATTTGAGCATTTAGCCTTTTGTAGGACCCAGCGCGCTAGCTGTAGAGGATGCTACCGTAGCACGCTTTGGCAGTTTCTGGGGCGGTCTTGTCTCGGTACAGCCTTGTAACATCTGGTCTACCTCGAAACTTTGCTAGCAGTGCAGGTTAAAATGATCTCCTTATAGTTTAAGTTTCCACTCCCCGTGGTGAGGGATGCCGAACATCACTTCACAGGTAATATGCCCTTCCAGTGTGCTCATACGCGGTGCCCATCTTTTTCTTAGTGACTAGCAGGGCTCATAAATAAGAAAACTAGTTTGAGCCTGGGTGTATGTCTGTAGGTATTTTTTCCAGATGATATGTTTGTCTTTTGACTTTGCTTATAATACTTCAGATGCTTAAAATTTTAGTTATCAGAATTTATTGAATATTTTGGTGCATTTTTGATGATACATATTATATAGAAATGCTATTTTTAATACTGAGATGAACTTTTCAAATCTTTTGTCCTTTTCAAGTAGTTGTATTTTATCTTCTTATTTTCATTTGCATTCTAACCCACCTGGAATTAGTTCTGGTAAAAGGAGTGAGTGTGATTCAACTTAATGCTTTCCAGTAAGTTTTTCAATTGTTCCAACACCACTGATTGACTAATTTGTCTTTTCTACAGTGATCTGCAATGTCATCTTTAACAGACACTGATTTCCCATGGGCATCTGGTTCTATTTCTGGATTCTTCTGTTCCACGTGTCTGTCTGCTTATTTACTCTGGAGTCAGGCACTTCCATACAGGGTCACGTTAACCACCGAAACTCAGCTCTGCCCACGAGGTGAGAACCTCCGGCCTCTGCCGCTTCACCTCCCCTTAGCCAGGAGTGATGTGCTCAACCCCAGGGCTTACCCCAGGGTGGGGGAGTCAGAGAGCCCAGGGGCTAACCCTCCAAGGAGTGGGGAAAGGCCAGGCACAGAACACAGCCTGGACGCCAGCTTGCCCGAAGGAGCAGCTCACCTCCTGGAGTCCCAGCGTTCCCATCTGCTGTCATAGTGGCGCGAGAGCCCGTGTCGCCTCCCCAGGGCTCACTGATATCCAACATTGAGTGGAGGCTACAGTTGCAGGGACCGAGGGCCCCAGGCAGAGTGCTGCTCCCTCCCTTGCTCAGGGGGAGCTCTTGCTCCCGCCTCTGTTCTGGTAACTTCTGACAGAAGTTCAGGAAGCTAAAGTTCTGGCTGCTGGTGGATGAGAAGGCATGGAATTTCCCAGGGGCCATTTCCTTGGAAGAGCAAAGGGCCAGTCGTGGTAGTGCTAAGCTGATCTCAGAACCACAGCACCTGACTGGGCTGGGGCAGCGGACATGCTGCTGGGGAGGGGCTGGGAACACTGGAGGGGCTACGCCCGCCCCAGTGGGCAGGGAAAGCAGGGGAGCCTGGGCAGGATAGAATCTGGGGAGGTAGAGAGGTGTAGGGAGGCTGAGGTGCCCACTCAGCTCCAAATGACCCCTTCGGTGCTTCCCTGAGGCGTTCCTATCTGGAATCTCCATCTGTCCCCATCCAGTGCTACCAGCCCAGGTAGTCAGGCACCAAGCCAGAAGTCACCAAAAATACGACTCTTGGGGCTCTGACATTCCACAACGGGAACAACCTCCTCTCACTCCCTATCCCCACACCAGCATGGTCCCCAGATCTCCAAAACACCACCCCACCATTCGCCTGCAGTGTCTGAGCTCCCCCAGAGGGAACAACAATGTTACAACCTTTTCCTTGATGAACAAACGAAGACTCAGACCAGGCACCTGAGCAGCTTGGAGATGACAAAAAGTGGCCAAATTAGGACACAGCTCTCTACTCTGAAGGCCCGACCGCGAGGAAGACTGTCCGTTTACTCGTTTGTTCAATAAACATCCACTAAGCATGGACTTTGCACTCAGTGCTGGAGTGGGTGTGGTCTACAAAAGTGGGTAAGAAAAATTCTGGCTCAAAAGGACCAAATAAACAAACAGTATTCAGTGCGGTCAGCATAATGGACTCATGAGGTAATGTGGGAGGTCAGGGCAAGAGTGACAAGCGGTCAGAATGGGGTTGGGGGCATCTCAGAGGAGGCCACGGATGAGCCCACACTTGAAAGACGCTTCACAGGAGAGCCCCATCCTGCCTGGGAGGACACCAGGACCTGCACTGTCCTCTGAACCTGCATTCACAGCATTAGCACCCAGACACTTGAGTTTTGTTCATGATCCCTGCGGATGTGCACTTAGAGGTCGGGGTCCAGTGGACAGCTACTGGCAGTTTTTTTTTTTTTAAGTAGTTTGTTTTTTGAGATGCATTGTTCAGCTTAAGGAAAATTCTAAATGCAATGGAAGAACAAAGCCAGAAGCCCCAGGGATAAACCCCACGCCCATTTAGCCCATCATAATGGGTCTGATTCTCTCTTGTGCTTGGAAAACATTATCTGGGCCTGTTAGGGGAGTGCTTCCTCTGCTCCCATTGATAATGCCTGACATGGCGAGAAGGGCTCGGTGCTGGGAATGCCTGGAGACTCAAGGGATGGGGAGCAGGCAATGCTCAGAGAGGAAACAAAGCTTTCCTGGTGAAGAGCTTGGAGCTGGACCGCCTGTACAGATTCTGTGTCTGCTACTTCTGAGCTGGGTGATCTTTTGACAAGTTACTTAACCTCTCTGTGTCCCAGATCTTTAAAATGAGAATAACATGACGTCTATTTCATAGGTTTATTAGCTGAGTTAAAACATGTGAAGGCCGGCCCTCCCTGGTGGCGCAGCGGGTTAAAGCACAGCACTGAGAATCTGAAGCCACTTGCGCATGAGTTCGATTCCCGCCTGCCTCCTGCCCCGGAGGAGACCACATGGCGAGCCAGACCTCTCCTGACCGCCCGCCGCCCCCCCTCAGCAGTGTACTTCGTCGATCTGCCTGTTCTGCTCCCCACTCTGTCTCTGGTGAAGCCTCTCACCGCCCCTGAGCCTCTGGCCTGTACCCCAGTTCTGTATGAATAAATAAAAAAATCTTTAAAAAAAAAAAAAAAACAAAAAACATGTGAAGGCCTCCCTGTTGGCGCAACTAGGCAAAATGCAACGCAATGAAGCTACCGCAGCCACTGCAGCATGAGTTTGAACCCCGGCCGGGGAGGTGACCCACATGGCGGGCAGACCACCCCGGCCCATCTGCTGCTCCCCTCAGCAGTGTATTTCAGTAGATCTGCCTGTCCTGCTCCCCACTCTGTCTCTGGTGGATCCTCTCACCCCCTGCACCTCTGGCCTGTACCCCAGTTCTGTATGCATAAATAAAAAAGTCTTTAAAAAAAAAAAAGCACGTAAAGGATGAGTTCCTGCCAGATAAAGTAAACGATACGTAACCATTTGCTTTCATTATATCAACATTCAAGCAGGAGGCAGAGTCAGGGACTGACTATTGCTAAGACTTATCATACAGCTGCACTATTTACAATAACAAAGTTCCAACTGTCTAGTGCCATCACCCACTGAGGAGTGACTGGTGAAGATGTGGCATACACAGATGATGGAATACTGCTCAGGCATGGAAGAGGACATCCGCTTATGACAACTTGAATGGCTCTTGAAGGTACTATGCTAAAAGAAATGTCAGAGGAGAAAGAGAAATACTCATATGTAGACTACAGAGGGAAAATAATGACTACATAAAAATAAACAAAAAACTCAGATTCAGCAAATAGACTGGAGGGTGGAAGGGGGTCAGGAAAAACAGGTACGGGGGTGCAGGGTATGGTGATGGGCGGAAACCAGACTTGAAGGCGATCATAATGCAGTGTACACACAGGCCAAGTGAAATGTTCTACACTTAAAACTTACACCATGTTGTAAACCTTGTTACTACAATATATATATTTTTTAAATAGACTCAGTCCAGCAGAAGGCATTTCTGCCGAGCGACTTACCATTCAGCAATGCCGGCACTGGAGGTGCAGGTGTGAAGGAGATGCCCCTGCCCTCAGGAGGCCCCGGCCTGAGAAATGGAGCAAAGTCCCATCACCCACCTCTCTGAGCAGCGGGAACTGCCAGGCAGGTGCTTTAAGACAATACAGTTCTCTCTCCCACTGCCTGGCGCATCACGAACACACTTGCAGTTTCTAGCCCACATCACAGAAAGGGGGCAGGAGAAGAAAGGATCCCAGGGAACAGGCTAGGCATGTTCCTTGGCAATGGGAGGCACCCCAAGCACACACTCAGTCCTGTTCCACGTAGCCGACAGAGAGCAGAACCCACTGGGCCGCAGCCTGCCTCGAGCAGGCTCCCAGCCTTCGCACCCTGACACACTGGGGCAGGCCCATGCTTTGTTTGCGGCTGCCCCGTGCAGTGTCCCTGGTCTCTACCACTAGAGGTGAGTAGCACCCACCCCCAAGAAGCGACACCAGAACTGCCTCCAGACGTTGCCCAATGTCTCCTGGCCTGGGAGTCCCGTGTTAGAACTGAGCTTCCTGCCCACCAGTGAAGCAGATTCACCCAATGTGTGAGACAGCCAAGGGATCTCTGCCCCATGAGCATGGTCCAGGCTGAGGTGGGGCCTCGGATGCTTAGCCTGGCCACACTCCCCGCGCCCCTTGACAGCGGCGGCTGAGCCAGGATTGCATTTCCAAGTATCACATCCATAGCTCTCAGAGGTGATCAAGAATCAGAGGTGACCCGGGAGGCAATACATTTGCTTTTTTCTTCAGATTCTCTCTGTGGTTATTAGAAAGTCTCTGATTTAATCACAATAAAAAGACAAATCACGCAATTAAAGGAGGAGCCAGGGCATTTCTCCAAAGAAGATCTGTAAGTGTCCAATGCACTCATGAAAGACGCTCACCATCCACAGCCACCAGGGAAATGCAAATTGAAATCACAATGAGCTGCCACTCTGCACCCCCAGCAAGATTAAAATAAAAAAGACAATGATAGGTGTCACTAAGGACATGGCAAAATTGGAATCTTTAGCCATGTGGATGAGATATAACATGGAGC